TCCAAAAAAGTTGGGACACTGTATAAAATCTACCTTAAAACAGAATTCAACAATCTGCAAATCTCATAAACCCATAATTTATTCACAATAGAAAACATATAAAATGTTTAAACTGAGAAAATCTACCATTTTAGAATAAAAATAAGGTAATTTTGAAATTGATGGCAGCAACACGTCTCAAAAAAGTTGGGACAGGGCCATGTTTACCACAGTGTAGCATCCCCTCTTCTTTTAACAACACTCTGTAAATGTCTGGAAACTGAGACCAATTGCTGGAGTTTTGGGGGAGGAATGTTGTCCCATTCTTGACTGATGTAGGATTTTAACAGTCCTGCTCATCAGTCCTGGGCCTTCTTTATTGTATGTTTCGTTTCAAGATGTGCCAAATATTTTCAATTTGTGAATGGTCTGGACTGCAGGCAGGTCAGTTAAACACCGGGCCTCTTCTACTACGAAGCCATGCTGTTATCATAGATGTAGTATGCGGTTTAGCATTGTCCTGCTGAAATATGCAAGGCCTCCCCTGAAGAAACAAAAAAAAACATCTTCTGGATGGGAGCATATGCTGCTCTAAAAACCTGGATATATCTTTCAGCATTGATGGTGCCTTTCCTGATGTGCAAGCTGCCCATTCCATATGCACCAATGCACCCCCATACCATCAGAGATGCAGACTTTTGAGCTGATCAAGGATAACAAGCCGGAAAGTCCCTCTCCCCTTTAGTCCAGAGGACCCAGCACCCATGGCTGCAAAAGGAATGTCAAATTTCGATTAATCTGACCACAGAACAGTTTTTCACTTTGCCACATACCATTTTAAATACGCTTTGGCCCAGAGAAGACAGCAGTGTTTCTGGATCATGTTCAGATATAGTTTCTTCTTTGCATGATGGAGCTTTAACTTGCATTTTTGGATGGCACAGCAAACTGTATTCATAGACAGTGATTTTTGAAAGTATTCCTGAGCCCATGCAGTGATGTTCATCACAGCATCATGCCTGTTTTTAAAGCAGTGTCGTCTGAGGGCCTTAAGATCATGGGCATCCAATATTGTGTTTCGGCCTTGTCCCTTGCGCACAGAGATTCCTCCAGATTCTCAGCATTAATGATATTATGTACTGTAGCTCAGTGGTTCTCAACCTGTGTAACCTTGTGACCCACATTTGCCCTTAGCCATTAAGTCGCGAGCCAAGTCGCACTGCAATGGAACACATGGCATTAAGGTATTGCGTGTTCCCGTGCGGGTGTACGAACTGTGGGTGTTAGGTGCGTTTGGGGTACCATTCAAATGAATGGCAACACAACACAACTCCCACACCAGAATGTAGGGTAGGTGCGATTGCATGGTACAGTTTAACGCACTGTACTAGTGTCAACGGGCCCTCAAAAACTGACATACATACACAGACACAATCTCACATACATTCACACACACATTTTTTTTTAAGGTCCACTCAGTCTCCCCACCTTACGCGAACTGGAGTGGATCCTCATCCTGGGGTACAGTGTGGGCTGCTGTGCTGTGACGGAGCTCCATCCATATGTGTATTGCTTGTACAGCTCCCTTAGGCACCCTGTAGAGGTGTCGGGAGCCAGAATGTGACGTGACTCCGGTCCAGGCACCTCTACAGGGTACATGAGGGAGCTGTGCGCAATGCATGTGTGGATGGAGCCTCAGCCTGCCCCACCTCAAGCTGACACTCAGCAACAGGCAGCATATTTTGAATGGCTGCTTGGTGCTAGAACTGACAGTGCTGTGCTAGGAGAAGGCAGAGGAGCCTCTCACCTAGAAAAGTAGAAGGCGTGCAGCGACCCACTGAACACAGGGTTGCGACCCACTTTTGGGTCACGACCCACCAGTTGAGAACCACGGCTGTAGATTATTTAAAGTCTGCAATTTTACATTGAGGAACATTTTCTGAAATTGTTTGACAATTTGTAGACACAGCTTTTGATAGATAGGTGAACCTTTACCCATCTAAACTCCTGAGACACTCTGACTCTCCACGATGCTCATTTTATACTCAATCATGATACTGACCTGTTTCTAAATAACCTAATTAGTTGCAAAATGTTCTTCCAGCTTATTTGTCAGTAACACTTACTTTGCCAGCTTTTTGTTGCCCTGTCCCAACTTTTATGAGACGTGTTGCTGCCATCAATTTCAAAATTATCTTATTTTGTTCTTAAAATGGTAAATTTTCTCAGTTTAAACATTGGATATGTTTTCTATTGTGAATAACACATGGGTTTATGAGATTTGCAAATCATTGCATTCTATTTTTATGTAGACTTTACATAGCATCCCAACCTTTTTGGAATTGGGATTGTACACACAAACTAGGTGGATGTGGAAAAACTTCTGATTAAGAAAGAAAAAAGAAACAGAAAGTATCACTATTCTCCATGGATTTGCTTCCCTATAGGCATAAACAATGACTTGTTTGTTAGACTGAATTAGAGATTTCTTTTGTCTTGTGATCATGTTAAGGCCAATTAAAAAGTATGTGCGTAAACTAAATTAAGCATTATTCAAAAGATGTTACCATCTAACACAGGTAAAACTTTAAACACACAGCAGGGTAGAATAGTAACATTACATTAATATCCTTTGTTTATCTCCAAGGTACTGTATTTCTCAGTCTAGTCCCACAGCTTAAAACTGCTGAATACATTTACATCTCACTTAGCGTAAGATACACAGCTGATGAAAATTCATTTCAGCTGTTAATTTTCCACAGCAGGAGTTTTCTTGCGGGCTTATGACTTTAAAAAAAAAACACTTCAGTGACTGAGTTAAAAGGGGCTCTTTACCCCAAATAAACCGCAAACATATAGTAAAGCATTAAATGAATAAAAAATGATAATCAATATATGGAAATGTCATTACATTCTTAATTGAATTGTTATATTTAGCAAATTTTACATTAATTAAAAACCGTCCTCCACTAAGAACTGCAGCTTTGTAGACCTTTGTATCTGAAGATGTTCAAAGGAAATTTCAGCCCATTCTGTTGCTCTTCCAAGAGGTTAGACTGGCTTGTAAGGCATTTATCTCTGACCTTGTGGTAACGCATTCTTCCACATGAAGTTGACAGAGATCTGGCGATTGTACTGGTCAGTCCATTAAAGACCAGACTCTCCAGCTTTCTGTTCTTTACCAAATAGGTTTTGTACACCTTAGAAGTATGTTTTGGACTGCTGTCCTGATGTATGATTAAATTTGCACCAATCACATGTTGACCACAGGCAATGCAAAGTGTAAAACAGAGTGGTAAATGTTTTGACTCAAGCTGCACCGAGTCTTCACTATTAAAACAGAAGTTCACTACTGTGAAGAGGATGCAGCATTATTGAAAGGATGATTTCTATAGGAATCATCAGTCAGCAGGCTGTTGGACGCACTTCACTGGATGTAAGTAATGTCCCTGCTGTTGTATAACCAAAAAAAAAAAAACAACTAAACTTCATCTTTAAAGATTTGAATTTGCAAAATGACAGATAAGTTCTGGCTATCCAACTCATTGGGCACCAAGTCCAAATATTTGAGGAAATTTTTCCTACAACTATTCAAAATCGCACAGAATGAACATACATGCAGTTTCACAGGATGAATGTGTCTGCAACTTTGTTTTAGAAATACCCCTTAGTGAACTTGTAAAAAAGTGATTTAAATATCATTACCACCTAAAATTAAAAGCAAACCTGCCTACCTAATGTGCTTTGAGCCAACATAGATTATATATTTTTGTTGTTGTTGCTGTCTGTGTCCTTGTTGGGGAAATCTTCCCTCTATTCACTGCCCCATTGCCCACACAAGAGATGAAGTGTATCTCCCCAACAAAGAATAATATAATAATGATAATAGACTTTATAGCCGTCAGTGACCCCTCACTTCCCAGTTTGAGGACTACACAAGAAGGATATGCTTCTTTGCAGTCTGTGTCAATTGGGGAGATATCCCTTCATTTTCTGTTTCATAAGCACAACAGAAAGCAAATGGAAAGGCCTTCAAGGTGTGAGAAGTACATTCTTACTTGACAGGGTTGCTAACCCTTCCCCACTCTCTGTGGCTGACTCTCATCCTGCTCCCTTCAGCAACAAACAATGACTAGAATGTGGGGTAGAGGGACGATTGCAAGCCTTTCACCAGCTGATAGAGAAAAAGATGCTTCATAGAAGGTCACCTGACTGCAGCCTTTTAAGCTTGGTCCCCTGCTGTGCACTGTGGTTCCTCTTGCCGGCCCCTATGTAACAACTGAGAGCAATGGTGATGTAGGGCTGAGCCATAGAACCACATCAAGAATGTGTGGGCTTTTGAATAGGAATGTTTCACTAGAGTTGTATAAAGTACTCTTGATTGACATTTTGTCCCTAATACTGACAGGTTGGTATTAGGGGAGGGGTAAAGATGGTTATTTTATTTTTGGCAGATAGTCTTTGTGCAGTGTGGGTAAAAATCCTTAGCTCAGCAGTGGGGTATAAGTTATACTATTAGCTCCTTACTGTTTATATTTCAGGAGGTAATACTTGAGTATTTTTGATTGGATAGACCACTTGCAATTACCTTTCTCAATTATGCTATTTTAACTATTTACAATATTATACCAGGAAAACTCAAAACCTTTCTGAAGAGTTGCTATGCTGATTTACAAAACAGAAGGTGCTGTACATGTTAACAGTTTGAGATTTTAGGCAATCTTCTGGGGTTCCCATGGTGAGAACCTCTTTGGATCCCCATAATTTGAATGTGTATGGGTTGTTGTTTTGAAATAGGTTAGGCAGGACCCCATATCAAAGGTGTAAAAAAAAAAAAGTTAAAAACACATTTTTAGCAAATAAAGCTATTTCTCATGGTCACTATTTTATAATAACAGTTGAAAGATTTTCATCCACCACATACTTTTTTGCCCAGTATTTCTAATCAATGGCAAACATGCTAGTATACGCACAAACAAATACTACAGAAAAGTTACACATATTTCTTATGCTAAAAATACCTTCTTTCTCTTGTTGAAGACAAGTATTTAGTTCTTCTATGGTAGCTCTGTCTATCGATGCCTGCACTTTTAACTGATCTATTTCTTCTTCCAAGTTCATTCTGTAAGAAATTCACATAATGGTCATTAAATCACTGCAAAGTGGTAATAAAATTTTAAGCGCAGAACATGTAGAATATGAAACCCTTATGTTCTTTACTTAGTTGAAGATATATTGCAGATCTTTGCACATGAAAAAAAAAAGGAGTATTATTTATTTGCCTTCAAATCTTAAAAAGCTAACTTCCATATTTTTACAGTTCTGTATTGTTACCATTCAAACGTTTCCAAAAAAGGGGTAAACAAACAGATATGGTGTTTAAAACATTCATAGCATTCGTAAGGTGTACATAGGTAAAGAAATGCAACTAATATTTATCTGTACACAGACATGTACATAATGTTTATTTAATGCTGAAATAACTAGTAAGACCATTACATGAAGCATTTATTTTATTTATTTATACTGCAACAAACAATTTGCAGTGTTATTAATGTAGATGGACCCATTCACATTTTCTGCCCCCCTGAAATATATCATTTTATTTGACTACATAAGTCATACAAGCACACATTTGTTAAATAAACTTTTTAAGTTCATCGGTCCTTTTACCAAAGATAATCACATTACTATAAAAATGTTAGTGTTTACTAGCCATCACTAACCAGAAAAAATAACAATGTTATCCAATGACATTTTTTTTTTTTTACATTGTCCTTGGGCCAAAGGTGCACAGTTACAATATTATTTGGATCCAATTATTTTGATCTTCAATGTCTGTGACAAGACAATAATAGAGCACTTAAAAGTAAATCACAAAACGTCCTCGTACTATTCTGGTGATGGAGCTTGCCACAAAATTACATCTATGGCAGTTGCCTGGTGAAATGAACAGGGATTTGTGTGGCAGCAGGATTGCTGCAGTCCCAAGACTTAATGGCGAGAGAGGTATCTGCTATGGAGAGTGAGGTCTGGTTAGAAGGCTGCTAACCTGGCAGGGAAAGGCATCTTATTTTCTGCTGTTTGGGAACTGAATAGGACAAGATTAATCAGGAATACAAAAGGGAACCTGCACAGAGTATAGTTGTCATGGTGGGGCAGGGACTAGACATGATGAATACCTAGTAATAACTAGTTAAGAAAATGACATTGTTACTGTAAGGTTTTGGGAATGATGTTGAGTACTAAAAAAAAAGAAGGTAAGATACAAAATGGTTAACTAAAATTTGCAGGCAGAAAATGCTGTCAGTGGTCCTGGCCTTCCTTGGCATCATGGAAAGAAAACAAACACATATGCAAAGTGAAGACAGTTGTCAAAGATGGGCTCAAATGGTTTATTTGCACAGTGCTTTATTATTGTGTATGTTTTACTATGTGTACTGACTATACACAGCACTGTAAAAAGGTCTTAGGAATTTAGGATAGTTGATTCTAGTTAGAAAGATTATTTTTTGTGTGTTATTTTTGACCTCCGATTGTGTCAAGAAAAAACATTAGGGGGGAATTTATGAACGCGTTTGTGACAAAATTTTGTGCAAAAAACAAAATGTCATGCTAACAAGGGGGATAAGGGTGGGAGTGTTAGTGGAATCCCAGGTTGACCCGGGGGATAAGGGGGTGTTAGTGACTGAGCAAGTTGACCGGGTGATTAGGGTGGGGGTGTTAGTAAAAATCCAGAGTTTTATCTCTGTTCTGCGTCTTTTTTTAAATGTTCTTGCAACATATTCATGTTTGTGACTCACTGCACATGTTTTGTGACATTTGACATATTTCAACTGCACAGTATTTGCGACAGTAAAAGACCTCCCAACAGACGCCAATCCTAGATGTTCTACTGAGTGTTTCTTAAACTATCGCAAAGATGACTGATGAGACATTGGCTTTCTCCCCTATTCATGCCCTGGAGGCCTGGGGGACGGAAAGCTGCTTCTCGGCAGTTCTCATGTCTGCTTCTGTTGTCTTTTTCTTTTTTGCTGTTCCCTTTCCTTACTCATCTTCCACATCGTCTGTGGAAGATGACTGTTGTGTGTCCCCAGCATACTAGAAATCCAGTCAAACCCCTGGACCTGTTATGTCAGGTTGATGGATAATGTCCTACCCAAACAGACCTTCACTGGGAAAAGCTCTTTCACTTTGATGTTTATTTGTTTATCTGCAAACTATTGATAATATTGCTGTTTTGTAGTCATAAGTGTGTCTTTTATGTACCTCCTGTATTTTCTCATTGCTCTGTTTACTGTATTGTAAAATCTTAGTAAATAAACAATATATATTAAAAAAACACAATTTCTGTGTTTGCAGATTACACCAAACTATATAGTGAAATTAGGTTCGTACAAAATGTCTCCAATTTACAAGTCGACCTGAATGCACTGTTTGATTAGGTAACTATGTGGCAAATTAGGTTAATTGTTGATTTGCACTTGTGGGCTAAAACATGCATGCATCATATACTCTAGGGGGAGTACAATTGGGGAAATCAATAACTGAGAAGGATCTGCGGGCTCTGGCAGCTCATAGACTTAATAAAAGCATGCAATGCCAAGCTGTAGTTTGTCAAGCAAGTAAAACACTTTTGTGTATTAAAAAAGGAATTAGTATTAGTAAGACCTTATCTGGAATATGCAGTAAAGTTTTGGGCACCAGTTCACAAAAAGGATGGTGGGGAACTGGAAAGAGTACAGAGAAGGGCAACTAAGTAATTGTACTCATGAAAATGTCCTCATACATAGAGCCGATACTGGCCCTTTAAATTTTTTTCACATAAGCTGTGGTCATTGACCTGCATAGCCCCTCCCCCGGAATACCTCTCCACCAAATGCAGACTCCCTCTCCGCTCTCACCTCCCCGGGCGGAAGTGTGACAGCGTGGCGGGTGGTAAGTGTTAAATGTGGACAGTCTCTTCTCCCTGCTGGTTCTGGCTGCAGAGCTCTGTGTCCCTTTCACAGACCACTGTAGCCGTCATGAGAGGGGAGAAGAGACTATGGCTGTGACTCTGAAATTCTCCGCTGCCCCCCCCCCCCCCCCACCGCATCACCCCTCCCTCTC